AATAACAATTCATTTTCAACTTTATTAAATTCCTCCTCTTGAAGTTCTTTCCTTAGGTGTCGTATATTTCAAACGCTTTCGGTATTTTCTGTAAAATTTACGATATTTTAAAGCTGAAATTGCCACAAGTTTCAACTTGAACTTTTTTAATGCGAATTTTGATTGGTTTATGTGTTGTCAGGCACACGATTTGATTGGCTATTAGGAAATACTATCCTCACGAGCGTGTATTGAGAAATAGATAAGATAATGATAATAGATAATGGGCGTAACTTTCTTTTCACAAAATTCTCAGTTGTTGACTTTTTCCTTATCGTCAAAAGAAATATTTTCATGTACACGGCCAAAATCGGCCTGTGGCAAATCTCTCAGTTGTCGATTTTCGTTTTCAGCCGCAAGAAATACCATTACTTAGGTCAAGTACGTAACTTTCGGTTTTTGTTTTCGTATTTTGTTTTACTTCCGCCTCTAGGAATTTTGAACGACACTGTCTGTTACGAGTACGATTTTTTCTGTGCTTTAAGCAGCCATTAATCCGATAAAATCTCGACAAGCGACCCTGGATCGAGAACGGTCAACGCTTTTCCATTCATTTATTAACCTGACACAGCTGATTGGCGATATCGAACACATATAAAAAATTATCGTCATATTAAGCGCGTGCTGTTACGAATTTTCTTAGGGCGGGAAATCCTTCTAAAACACCGCAGTTTGTATGATGATTTTTTTTTTCCTTAAGCTTTCTTATAAAGAAAAATATATCAAACATCGCGTTAACCGAAATTCAACTTTTTAGCCGATCCGTGCCATAATTACAGAAACCTGAGCGATGCTGACAGAAAGAGCACCTACATCACACCTCACGGTGCAGAAAAATGTGACGACGATTCCTCATCCTTAATATTTGGGGAATGGTATCGTTTTGTGGGAGATGCAGGAACAAAAATGCCAACACAGTGCGTAAAGGGTAACAGATGTGGTGCAGCCTTCCCAGGCTGGCTAAATGGTGGTCACCCCACACTGGCAGATGGTGAGGTTTACTCCAAGGTCTGCTTTACCAGAGGTGGAGATTGTTGCAAGAAATCAATAACCATTAAAGTGAAAGACTGCGGATCTTACTTTATTTACAAACTTGAAAAGCCATCTGGTTGTAATCTGCGTTACTGTGGCACAGACTAAATGCTATAAGCAAGTTATTCTGC